TAATATTGTATGTTTCATGTTATAAAAACTTTAAAAAAATGTGGTGATTCCTTTTTCTTAAGATGCCTTCATGTATGTCATTTTTTGTCCACATTGTCCATAGTTGTCCATCTTGCCCACCCCTATTTGGAACATGCAGCTAAAATATAGCTAAACTTTTAAGACAAGAGAGCATACTAACTGGGTTCTCAAGTTGACTACATGACCATTTCAATTTCATTTTTATTATATTATATTATATTACAAAACTAAGCTAGAGAGTTTCTGTTCATAATGATATGCCCTTTTGGTTTTTGGTATGTTACTGTATAAAAAAAGATCTTTAATGCAAAATGGTGTGTAGTATTGTGTTTGATGTGCAGTAGCTACACCACAAGAGACTTTTGTCTGTCAATACAGAATACCAAGCTAACATCTGAGGCTGACATTAGTTAACGTTACATTATCATTATCTGTTATTGTGGTATTGCTAATAGTTAGCTTATACCATGTATGATAAATAGCTTTAAATCAAGCTGATCTGGACGGCTATATTTCTTTTCTCAACTCGTAGAGTAAATACAAGAGTGACAAGATGTTTAGCTTTATTTTCAGGATCCTGCAATTATTATCTGATGGCTAGCCGCCTTTTTACTTAGCTAACTTAGCGACACAGCATACCTGTAATTAACATTGCACCTGTGGTCCACTTACTACTAGCCAAGATTGTATCTTTCCATTACCTTTCATTAAACCTAACTGAAAAATGTTATCATGGGGATCAAGGGCAGTGTTAGGTCTGCATATATGTTATAATAATCAGTTTACGTTCTTATTGTAGGAGAGTTCTATTACTTCTAAACAAATGTGATACTTAGTAAGAGCTCACAGGCTTTTATGCCATTCTGAACAGTGAAAAAACATCTGGAATGAGTATGTAAGACATACCAGTAGAAATAATTGTTTGGACTTCTGCAATTGCTATTAAAACTGCATATTTAGGCTAGAATTCTTGTGGTGAGATTAGATTGTTATTTTTCATATTTCCAGAAGCTGTTTAGTAGCTTTTGCTGTTTCTTTCCTTTTGCTGTATGCCCCCAGCCACCAACAGAAGGTACTATTTAACCTCTACAAAGTTTATTCTAAAGTTATGGCCTTGCCACACAGCATCTGGGCACAGCTGATTATATCTGGACTGCAGAATTAACTGCTGTAAAACATCAAGAACAAGTTTACCTACAAGTTTAGAATGTCAGCTCTGTGTAATAGTAGTATCAAAAGATTGTTCAGTGGGATTTGACCTGTGATTCCTTTTAATTTTTTCGATGGTTATTTATAACAGTTTTGTGTGTGAAGACAAATTACACTTGAGTGTGTTTTTGTAGATGGTTCAATATAGAACCTTTTTGAAAAGGGTTCTATATAGCACCCAAAAGGGTTCTTATATTGTTACAAGCTTGACATCATAATAGAAGAAGCCATTTGGGTGTTATATAGAACCCTTTTCAAAAAGGTAGAACCATCTACAACACATTCTGAAGAATGCTTTCATGATGTAAAGAACCCTTTAATCTTGCAATCTTGTTCTGTTCATGGTTCATTATAGAACCTTTTTTTAAACTGAAGAACCCTTAAAGAACCATCTTATTAAAGAATGTGCAGTTAATCGTGGAAGTGCTCAGATGACTGAGTTCATGTGCACTGTCCATGGTGCTTAATACAAAGTCATTATGTTTCTGTTTGCACTCACAAAAAAAACTTGTTAATGAAAAAATACTCAGATGACTGAGTTTATGTGCCTGGACTGTGTTACGTACTACAGTTATGTTCTGTGCATGATAATCATAACCAGATTCCACTGATTATGGAACTGACTGAATGAGTGCATGTACTGTTCATAGTGCTTACCATAAAGACACTCATTACACATTTACAACACAATCTATTGATAATGAGTTAATTTACATTGTCTGTGGTTATTACTACAGAAATGTTATATTTCTGTCCACGCTAGAGCTGAACTATTTGGGGAAAAATCTACATGGAATTTTTCTCACCAGTGTATCAGTAGCAATTTACATGCTATTATTTTCTGTAAATTAAGCTGTTCTTTTTACCAAGAAGAACAACACATCAATTTTATGGGGCTTGAGACTTTGACATGCAGTTCTTCTCATGTTATTTACTTCATTCATTGTCCTTGTGGGCTTGCATATGTACGCTCTTAAAAAAAAGCACTGAGGGTTCTATATAGCACCAAAAATGAGTTCTTCTGTTGTTACAAGCTTGACATCGCAAAAGTAGAGTAATCCTTTATGGTGCTCTATAGAACCCTTTTCAAAAAGGTTCTATACAGAACCATCTACAGCACGTTCTCCATCAGTCTGAAGAACTCTTTGCAATGCAAAGAAGCCTTTAATCATGCAAAGGGTTCTTTGAGTGTTCAAATTTCTACATAGAACCATTTTCTTTACTAAAGGACCCTTAAAGAACCATCTTTTTTAAGTGTGTAGGTAAAACTAATCTTTGTTCCTGTGTAAGTGAACATCGTGGTAAAATTAGGACTAGTGATGCATGCAGTCCCATTGCAGTTCATTTTAAACTAGCCGGTTATAATATCAGTGCACTGGCATAGATTGGCGTAAAGAAAGTGGTTAAATCTCCCAGGGGTGGTGAACAACTTCTACATCGTGAATACTATTGGATAAATGTACCCTTAATACCATGTCGTGAAACGGACTCAATGATGAATTTGATTTTCAGCCCTTTAGTCATTAGTTAATGAATTAAAAAACATTTTGTTTATCTGTAGGTATAAATTGGGTTCGATGTTACTGTTTTAATTGTGTAATTTTTAATAATTATTGTACAGATAATACATATACACAAGTTTGACTGTACTTTGTATGTTTTCAGTCATGTAACAGTTGGTGGGCAGGCCATTTTGTGATGTCAGTACCTGGCCTCTAACATTTGATACTATTTAAACAGCAGCTCATTTCAGTATAAAAACAATGAATCATTTAGCCCTTGTATTTGCTTACAACAACAAAAACTCTATTATTAATGTCTTCCCTGAGTAATGGTTTAAGTGCATTCAGCATTTCTTTTGGGATGTGGGTAGAGGAGCACAAGGCACGACTAAAAGTGGACTAAAACTAGAAAACATGTTTCTGGCCACTTTTCCAAACGTCATAGCAATATCATCTGCACACAGCTAGCACCTCTGTCTGTTACACTTAACCTTGCATGTGGAGAGAATTCTTTTACATTTGCATTCACATAACTTTTGGCTGCACTGCTAATTAACAGCAGATGCTGGAGAAAATATTGCTTGTATTAAAAAAACAATTAATCTTGCTCAAGTAGGTTTTCTCAAAAACAAAATGTTAACTTATTCTCCTCTCTCCCCGATTCCCTAATGTTCAAAATGATTAATGATTGAAATTCAAGTAAAAGAGAGTGAGAGAGAGCAAGGGAGAGAAGGGACAGCGAGAGAGAGCGAGAACAGAGAGAGAACAGAGAGAGAGAGAGAGATATATATGAAGAGAAAGAGATTGAGATGGAAAGAAAGACAGAAGGAGACACACAGCAGAGAAAGAGATATATAGAGAGGCATAGAATGATTGAGACAAAGAGAGAGAGAGAAGCAGGGTAAGTGAGAGACAGACAGAGAGGAGGAGAGAAAGAGAGAGAGAGACAGAGCACAAAGAGAGACAGGCCGAGAGAGAAACATTTCTCTGATGATCTGAGATTTCTGTAACTGCTAAATTTAGTCTGGCCTCGGTGCTGTGTGTGTGTATGTGTGTGTGGTGTGTGTGTGTGAGCTGAGTAAACTTGTGTAATTGTTTCTGCTCTCTGTTTTTCCCTGTATGGATGAGAACAAAGGAAACTGCCTAGTTTCGTCACGTCTGTCCCAGCAGACACACACACACACACACACACACACACACACACACACACACATATATAGTCTACCTCTCTCTCTTACTCTCTCTCTCTCTTTCTCTCTCCCACACAGATATGCTCTCTACCCTCAGACATGGATTAATGCACAAGTGTGTCATACAAATGTGCTGTAATTAATGGGACAGGCTTTTGTGCAATTAATCAGTTTCAGCATCAGTTAATTACCATCAGTTGGCTGAAGTGAGGCTGCAGACAGTGAACGATGAGGCTGTCTCAGATTCTCTGCTTATTGGCCACACCTCACCTGCAGCATGTGAGCTGTCATCTGTAGACTGAGGAATGCTTCCATCATCTCTATTATCCCTCATCATTATGACATTGGATAGCTGTGATCATTGGTTACTGTCCTGATGTTGGTGTCAGTGATTGACTGTAATTGTCACTTCATGTCTATGCATGCTTTAATAGTCCCATTACATTTTGTTTCCTTGTTTTCAAGTATATCTATTGATCCAGACCCTGTTTATGCCAAAGATACTTTGTAAGGCTCATATTATGGAAAAATGGTCATGAACACATTTACATATGACCACTTTTCAGCCTGCAGCAGTTCAGCCCATCCATCTACACTGAGGTAATGCAGAGTGTTGTTACTGCAGACAGCAAAGTTAGCTAAAATGGAAGATTAAACATTGTGCTGTTCTTGGCTGTCAGGTGGCAAATGGAAGTTTGTTTTTACGTTTTAATAATTTGTAACGGTGCTCGCACAAGTTTTTGTCATACATTTCAACTCACCCTGCTTTTTGAATGGGGCGTGCCTTATTTCTTTTGTGGAGGGGTCTAAGAGTTAATTTGACGTTGGAAAATGCTTATGTAAAACTGAATTCCCACTCTTTTTGACACACAAATGTTGTAAGTGACTTTCAAGGAAAAAAGTAAGGAACAAATATAGTGTAGAATATGGCCTTTAATGCTTCTGCCTCTTTGCATTATAGTACAACAACCACATACATATAATAGCATTCATTTAAAATCATATTCTCCTGAACTAAAGAGCTGTGGTCTGAGATGTAGTTCATGATGAAGTAATTAGTCTGTTTTTCCACTCACAGGCAGATCACGATTGAGGAGGGAGAGCAGAGGGCTAAGGAGCTGAGCGTGATGTTTATCGAGACAAGTGCCAAAACCGGCTACAATGTCAAGCAGGTGAGTTCCTCTTAATAAAATGTAGAACAAAAATCGGTGCTTCTTACAGGACACAAACTGTTTTAGGTATAAACCGGCATACATTTGTTACCATTTTGTCTTGATTTATGATGGAGCAGATTTATACCTGCCAGAATAGATGAAGGTGTATGTAGCATGGCATGTGCTACCCCGGGCTCAAGGAGGATGCTGGAGGCAGGATTCACAGTTGCAGCAGCCATATTTTATTTACCCACAAAGTAAACACAACTCAAAACAACCAAACTATGCTGGCCACTTTTCAGTGGCTTAAGCTGGCTAGACTTTTCAGTCACACTCAAGCTTTTCAGCTCTTCAGTCTCTTGCTGCTGCTCGTCCCTCTCTCTCTCGCTCTGTTCCCTCTCAGCTCTTTTAAAAGGCATGAGCACCCGAGCCGAGACGGAACTAGAGCTCACCGCTCCGCCTCCCCGTCACCGCCCCCAGCTTGCAGCTCGGCCGCCTGGGTCGAACATGAGGTGTAGTGAAGCGGCCTCACTGCTTACCAGGGGGCGGGGCTCGGGTGGCGGACCTCGGGACTCGCTCGTGCCTCTTGTGGCCGGCACCGTTGTCGTCCTCCTCCTGCCGCCGTCACTCTCGCGTGACTGGCGTCCCTCGGCAGAGCACGGGCTTTGCGCTCCGGCTCCTCCACACTCGCGGCTCTCTCCCTACCGTCCTCAATGAGGTTCGCCGCCGCTGGGTGTTCGTGCCCCGCCTTCCTGCCGGCTCTCGCGGCCGTCATCGTCGGGGCCCGGAGGGCGGCGTATGCCTCAGTGTATTATTATAGTGTATTTACAGTTGAGGCCAGAAGTTTACATACACCTAGGCAAAAGACATTCAAACTCAACTTTTCACAATTCTTCACAATTTGTTACCACATATTTCCTGTGTCATCCATTAGAGTATGTGCCTCCATAGTGGTTCATTTTAAAATAATAGCTAAGAGATTTATTTCAGGTTGTATTTACTATATCAGATTTACAGTGGGTCAAAAATTTATATGCACTTTGTTCATATTTGGTGGCTTTGCCTTTTAATTTCTTAATTTAAATCAAATGTTTGGGGTAGCACTCCACAAGCCTCTTGCAGTACTTTTCTGTAAGTTTAGCCCATTCTTCCTAAAAGAACTGGTATAATCCAGTCAGCTTTGTGGGCGTCCTTTCTCAAACACACCATTTCAGTTCAGTCCATGGATTTTCTATGAGATTGAGGTTTGTGATGGCCACTTTTATACTTTCACTTTGTTGTCTTAAAGCCATTCTGTCACAACTTTAGAGGAGTGCTTAGGATCATAGTCCTGCTGGAAAACCCAGTTGTGAACAAGTTTTGACTTTCTGCCTGATGTCTTGAGGTGTTCCTTCAGCATTTCTAGATAAACCTCCTTCCTCATGATTGCATCTGTTTTCTGAAGTGCACCAGTCCTTTTTCCATCAAAACCCTGCACAACATGATGCTACCACCCCCATGATTGACAGTTGGGCTAGTGTTCTTTGGATAAAAGAACACCAGCCCATCTGCCAGGACAGGGAAAAGTGTAGATGCTTGTCCATGCATCTTGAAGGGTGGAGGGTCGAGCTGAGCTGTACTTGAAGCTTGAAGTGCTCGAGGTACAGTTTGAGTTTTGACCATTGCTATTAGGGAGGGAGGGGTTGGTCTGTTTTTGGTTTTGTAGGCAAGCCTCAGGGTTTTAAATCTAATGCATGCAGCTACAGGAAGCTAGTGAGGAGGGCGCAGCAGTGGAGTGACATGAGTGAACTTAAGGTGATTGAAGACAAGCTGTGCTGCTGCATTCTGGATGAGTTGCAGGGACCTGATGGCCCACATAGGAAGACCAGCCAAGAATGAGTTGCAGTAGTCAAGCCTTGAGATGAAAAGAGACTGAACCAGCACCTGCGTGGCCTCTTGAGTGAGAAAGGGTCGAATCCTCTGGATGTTGTACAGGAGAAACCTGCATGACTGAGTCAGGTTCGCAATATGAGCTGAGAATGATAGCTGGGCTTTCAGAGTCACATCAAGACTTTTTGCATCTTCAGACGGAACAGTCAAAGAGTACTCAAATGAGATGGCAAGCCAACTAGAAAACTGGAAACCTGAGTATCAGAAGGTGGGAAGGAAAGCATTAGTTGTCATCAGTATAGCAGTGGTAAGAGAAGCCATGAGAGGATGTTACATCACCAAGCCGAGCCATGTGGGACATAGATGTGGACTCTCTCCATGTTACCTGATAAGAGCGCCTCTCCAGATTTAAGGATTTAAACCACTTACACACAGAGCCAGTGATTCCAAGGTTTTGACTGTGTCAAAAGCTACAGATAGGTCAAGAAGAATCAGAACTGATGACTGATTTTGCTACCTGGAGCTTCTCAGTCACTGCTATGAGGGCACTTTCTGGTGAGTGCACCAGTTTGAGGCCAGACTGGTTGATGTCCTGGAGCTGATCCAGAGTGAGAAAGAGAGACAGTTGATTATAGACTGCATGCTCAAGAATGTTTGAGAGGAAAGAGAGGAGTGATACCGGTCTGAAATGCTGATGGAACATGACCTGATGACAGTGAGCTTTTTATAAGAAAAGTGATGAAGGGAAGTAGATCTATGGAGATTGACTGGGACAATTTGGATGGGATGGGATACAGAAGGCAGGTGGTTGGATTACTGGATTCCAGTAGTTGTAGGACATCATCTGTGGAAAGAAAAGAAAAACAGGTTGGATTGAGAGCAAGAGGACAAGGACTATTGGAAGGAGTGGAGACAGAGAAAAAGGACTGGTGGATTCTATTAACCTTCTCCTCAAAGAAGAGGATAAAATCCTCAGGGAATTTTATCCCTTGTCCTCTTCCTTTCAGGCCATGGCAATGTAGGATACTTTAGTACTGATGACTTCTACTCCTTCTCCAGTTCCTTTTTTGTTGTCTTGGGGTTCAGTTGAACCTTTTGGATCACCATTCATTCAGTACTCTTAAGTTAATTTGTGCCTCCTTTCAGAATGATGCAGTATCTCTGCAGTCCCAACATTTTCATATTTGCATAGAGTTGTTTTTACAGATGTTTGTGGTATGTTCAGTTGTTGTTGAAAGTTGCTCCAAAGGAGTTTTTGGATTTTCCCATAGTATCAAGGGCAAAAATGCCCTGGCCCTAGATATAGGCCTTTAGACATCACCATAAGTGATTTTGGAATCTAATAGACAATCAAGTTGGTGTATGTAAACTGTATGTAAACCCACTGAAAATCTGCCACTAATCAGTTGCTTTAAAATTACATCTGATGTGAACAAAAATACCCTAATGGACCCTAAAAGAAAAGTATGGTAACATGAAATGTGCGTAACTGCAACCAATACAATTATAACATTGCCAGCATCTAAGTTACATGTGTCAAGCTCCAGTCCTCATGGGCCAAAACACTGCACACTTCAGCACACTGCCTCATTAAACACACCTGATTCAGGTCGTCAGCTGTTTAGCAAGGCCTTCATGAGCTGAATTCAGTGCATTAGATGAGGGTAAGCATTAATATCTGCAGCACTTTGGCCCAGCAGGTCCCCAATTTGACATGCCTGATCTAAGTGATCAACAGGTGTACTCTTCTGCTAAATGTGGGTGACCTCAAGCCGGGATAGATGCATACAAAAACATGCCTATGAGTCTTATGGCCAAAATTAAGAATCTGTTGCCAGATTATGAAAACATGTCTATGTATTGTATTGTATTGTATTGTATTTACAATTAACACACATTTCAGTACCGAAAACCTGTTAGTTGTTGCTACCAGCCTGCCACGTCCACATTTTTCATGGTATAGACAACCAGATTAAAGATTATTATCATTCGATCCTGGTGACCCACGTTCAGCTGCACTTTTGAATATTGTGTTTTCTGTGCTACCAGAACAGTACTTTCGGTATAGAGTGAAAATAGAATTTTTTTAACTTAAAAAGTAAGTGATGTGGTTTCCTTCAAATTTTGCATTCATCGAAACACAAATAAAAAGTTAACAGAATGTAAAGCACAAATCATTAACAGATCAGTAAACACAAAATTGTAAGACAATCAGGTCACTTACTTTTTAGGTTAAGCACTGAATCACTTTTTAACAGCATGTAAACTGACAACATGCTTAACAGAACATCACATCCTTCTCAAAATTATACTCCAGCCACACAAATTCTTCAGTTCCACTGTGAACTCCCTTTGTTTTGTTTTTTGTTTTTTTTTTTGTTCTTATAGTCTGATTTTTAGCTGTAAAGCTATATTTTAATACCCTAGCCATCATGTCAGGCCACTAAGAAATCATCAGAACTCTAGAAAGTAGTTGTCATTTTCTGCCAGGTTAGCACTACAGTTGAAGAATCCAGACAAAATTTGATTTAATTCAGTTTCATGTTTGTCAAAACAGGCTCTCAGTCTCAAGCAAGAGGGTGAAAAGTAGTTGTTTTGATATTAATCATAGATATTTGTGAAAGTGTGAAGTTTCAGCTGGTCTGGTGGTTTGTTAAAAGAAAGAAAAAAGAAACACAAAATAAAATTTCCAAGACAAATGGCCACTTAGGCCAAAGGCTCTGCATTTTTTGTTGGCATGCACTGATCATCCACACTATCCCTACAAATCTGTTTTCTTTTTTATTAGCCTTTTTTTAACCAAAGGTTCACCCTGTGTGGGGTAAATGAACACATGGAACACAGAGTACATCTTATTAGCCAAACTTGCAATATAAACAGCATCATTTGCTCTTTAACAAGTCAAACTTACATTTTAAATGTTTCAATTTTAAATCAGTTTCAGCTGTTTAACTGGTGTAACGGCAGCCTTTAAATACAACATGACTGCATTCACCTGCCTTACGCTATTTATGTAAAAAAAATTGCAACACAGATCCACCAAAGTAAAAACAATAATTTGGCTGTTTGCCTATTCTGATTGTGCATCCATAGTTTTTAGTGTAGAATGTGCAGTGTTGTGGTCAGTCACAACAGGCAATAGGCAGTGT